TATAATAGAAAATAACTTGGTTTTTAAAATAAGTGTATTTTTATCACAGATGCCAGAATTTTTATGGATATTTGGGAGACAGAGAATGAGACAGACCTTCCTAACATTTGTTGGTGGCATAGTGTAATGCTACTTTGGCTGATGTGACATTCTAGCATGCAAATTTCTTCATTCTGCTAAAAGGAAAATGCTTTGTGGAGCATAATGAATGCTGTTGGTCTGAAAAGGCATGAGAAGTTTGACAAAAGCTTTAGCATAAAGCAGGATATTTAATGCAAGTCAATCTTAAATGATGCATCTGTCCCTTAAAAAGATGTACAGAATGGGAAACCTGTACTTTGAGAAGGGAAAAAATTTGCCATTCCCCTTTCTAGGAATCAGATGCCGCAGACACAGGACGGTTTTAGGCAAAATTTCTATTCAATATTAATTAGAGGTGTTAATATGGTGGTATAATGATTTGCAGAATATCGTGTCTGTGTATTTTATTGCATTGCTTCTGTGCTCTCTTTAACTACCCATCCTATCTGCCTTCTGGGAAGCTCTCAGAGCAGACGATGCATCCTCATGTACCTCCGGATCCTTGGTACGTGACCACAGAGCAGCATGAGGAATTGCTTTGTACACGAATAAACCCGTCAACTGTTCATTTTAATTTTAATCCAGAATTGCACTTAAGCAACATAATGGTTCAAAATCCTATGGGAAAAAAAGAGCTGAAAAATATGTTTTAGTCACTTAGTTATTACATTTTCAGGTGAAACATTTGTGAAATTTAGGTTTGGCCCATTCCGTTGCTTCCTCTTTTAGCATTTAATAGACGACAGTTCACCTTAATACTTTATATGTACTTTATACACTATTTTACATGTTTTGGGCTTGATATTCTTTTTAAACTTTTTTTTCTTTTTCAATTTTAGGAAAGAGAAAAAATACATTGACCGATGCTGGAAGGACGTCATGGTGGGGGACTTTATCCGCCTCTCCTGTAACGAGGTCATCCCTGCGGATATGGTGTTACTCTTCTCCACCGACCCGGATGGGATCTGTCACATTGAGACTTCTGGTCTGGACGGAGAGAGCAATTTAAAACAGAGGCAGGTGGTTCGAGGACATGCAGAGCAGGTGAATAATGTGTTCTCAGTTGGTGACTAATTAACATTTTTTTTTCCAGAAGATGACTGAGCTCATTTTCACAGTACAGATAAAGAGAATTTCAGATTCGTTTTTGCCATGACGAAACAGAATCCCAGAAGGTTTAATCCATTTCCAGATGTCGGTGAAAGTGCACTACATTTTATAGATAATAGGATAAAATGACTTTGGAGGTCACACATTCAGGCTGGCCGTCGTGTTTTCTGTAATGGAATGAAAGGAACCTAAACAGAATTATTTTGCAATTCGGAAAATTATTTTGCAAGAGAAATAATCACCTGCTCATTATTTTTCTTAAGCTTAGATTTTATATCTTACGTTTTGTTGTTCATTGTTCTAAAATCTACAGTTACTCACATACCAAACTTTCTAAGACTTTTGTGGCTTCTAGACCCTTCACTGTGCTGTGTTGCGGGAACCAAAAACTTTGAAGTTATAGTGACATGAAGTTAAATGAATCCCAGCTCTGCCACTAACTACTGTGTGACTTTGGGCAAGTCACTGAGACACTTCATGCCTCAGTTTCTTTATGTTAAAATGGAAACGATGATATCTACTTCATAGCATTGCTGTAAGGTTGAAACGCAGTCATGTATGTAGAAACATCATACACATCATGCCTAAATA